GGCACCAACAGATGGCTCTAGGAGGGGGTTAGACAAAGTCATGGACTACTAGCCGTGGTGATTGTTTACTGTCTGCAACATCGGAGGTGGGATGTCTCTGAATGCCAGTTGCTGGAGAGCACAAGTAAGGAGGATGCTGTTGAACTTATGTCCTGATTGCAGGCTTCCCATAGGCTGGCCCCAGCAAAAACAGGAAGATTTTCTAGACAGGAATTTGGCTCTTCTAATGATTTACTGACTAAATCTGCAGTTCTGTGCCCAGTTATCTGAATGTTGCAGCAAAAAGAAAAAAGCAGGTAGGTCAGGCTGTTGGTTGAGGATGTACCCACATCCCATCACATCAGAATTAAAGTTCTGAATGATAAAGAATGATGGCAACACAAAAACTGGTTAAGGACTAGATCCTTTGACATGATGGTCCAGCACTGTGGCCTAACAGAAGGGTTTAGTCAACTGTTAAACCTTGAGGTGTTAATTTTACAGGATCCTACAAGATTTTTGTTCCTTCAGCTCTACTACCCTTAGCAAAATGAAATTCTTAACAACATTTTTTTGTCTTAATCCATCAGTCTTTAACATTTTAGACCCTGTCTTAAAATTTAAACTGCACGTTCCCTGGAGCAGAGAGTAGAGACCTGTCTTTTGTGCAGGCTACACTGTAAAGTGGCATGTAGACTGATGGTATTATTTAAAACCAGCAACTAAAACTACAACAGAAGTACCTTGAAGAGGTCTGCATTTTCTGGGAGATGACAATTGCCTAGGTCTGGTGAACAGTGGCTGGTTATTCTCCAAGGCACCTATATCTGAAATGCTGCTGGTCTCACATTCAGGACCAGCTAGGCAGGCACAGCTGTCTAGTATCAACGTGTGGGTGTGACAGTGGCATCAGGAGGGATTGTGAGGCACTGGGGAACAATTTGGGACAAGCCACGCCTGTACAAAAGGTATGGGTTCCACTTGAACCAGAATGGAACCAGACTATTTGTGCTTAAAATGAAAAAGCTGGCAGAGCAGCTTTTAAACTGATTGTTTGGGTGAAAGCTGACAGGAGCTGTGGAGGGACTGATTGGAACAAATCTCCCCCCTGGGATGAAGCTGAAGGTGAAATAAAGTATGATTTGAATGTGGGAAAATTATAAGCATTATAAGTGCAGAGGCACAGTACGGCAATTCAGACAGAACAATGCACTGCAGGCCAAAATGCAAGTGCCAAAGTCAAGTAGAGAGCAACACAGTACAGTGGTACCTCGGGTTACATACGCTTCAGGTTACAGACTCCGCTAACCTGAAGCGTCTGTAACCTGAGGTACCACTGTATATGCAGGCTGAGGAACTGAGGCAAAGAGTGATGGCACAAAAAGAAGTTCTAGGCTTTAAGAACAAATTGCCAGGTCTGGGTGATGCCTCCCTGAAAGTTCTTTGAGAATTCAAATGTGAAATTGTTGGCCTCCCAACAAGAGACCAGCAAGTGTCCCTGACTCCCTGGGGAACTAGGCACCCACCAGGTGTGCCCTGAAGTTAGGGTTCATTCTGGGGGTCTGAGTGCTCCCAAAGCCCACACTCTTCCGCTGAGCTACACCTTGGATTCTCTCTGTCTGAGAAAGTGTTATGAGGATAAACGCACATGAAGCCATTTCCCATCAAATCCTAAAGGGAAAACATCACATGTATGGCAAGTTGGAACATGCGTATTCTCTGAGGTATGCCCACAGTATACAGTACTTGGCTGCTGTCTCTTTATCTCTGGGTCACCATGAGAACAATGAAACACATTCTTTTCCTTGCACCATTTCACTTACTGAGACATATATAAATCCCTATAATAGCGGTGAAGGTCATCGTCAAGTATCAGAGACTCACACATTTTTTAGATTTGCCGGAGGGATATTAAACTTCCAAAGAATATTAAACATCCAAACAATTATCCTTATTAAATGCAAGCTGTATCTTTAGAACAAAAGAAATTACAAGCCTCCAAATCAGCACTCTGGCATAAATCTGTAGCAGCATTTGATTCTTTAAGGAGAATCTTAACTTTATCAACTGCACTAATGGAAAGGCAGCTTGCATTATGCCTTTCTTAGAGCTGCAAAGGCTGGAGGAGGGCAAGCATTGTAGTTGTGTAACTTATCCAGATACATTTTTTAAAAAGTGTTTTGTGTCAGATATCAAGGAAGACTCATGATGAAAGGGATTGCAATGGCAAACCATACCACGCTGGCCTACGCAAACAACCCGACTTGCTGAGTAATGTGAATGCACATGTATAAAATCCTTTCCACATAGGTCCCACGATCAGAACACTCATTATCTGAAATTTTGGTTAACCGGACACAAAGGAATTATACCCAAACCTCATAACATGAGAGACAGATTCTTATATCCAAACAGCCAGAGTTTGCCCACTTCCTTATTTGTTTGTGTTTTGCTGCTTGGTGGCAGACATTTTGGGCAGAAGTCATGGAAGGCGGGAGAGATCAGACAAATCATGAATTAGAAAGGTTCCTATAGGAAATAATGGAAATGCTTGCCTATTGAACAATTTCCTGGGAATGCGTTTTGTTCAGAAAGCAAGACCTGCATGTGTACTTTGTTGTTCATTGGTCCCAAGGAATGGTGATACCTTTTCACACACATATTACTTTGTTTTATTTTATTAACATTTCTATCTCACCTTTCGTTCAAAGTGGCAAACACGGATCTCCATCCTTTCCATTTTGCCCTTACAACAACCCTGTGACATAGGTTAGGCTGTGAGGTACCAACTGGCCCAAGGTCACTGTGAACTCCATAGCTGAGTGGGGATTTGAACTCTGGTTCCTCTGGTCTTCCTCAAAGTTATAAGGGAATTCTGAAAGTGGATGGTCCTTAAGAGTCGTTTGGAAGCAATCCCGCTTAATGGGATCTTGAAGGGCTTGAGTGTTCATTTTGCGCCTTGGTTTCCTTCCTTGAAGCCTGTGTTGAGGTATAATCTTTATCATATTATTCATATTAGTATTATTAGTCATATTAGTCATATTAGTATTATTCAGTGATCTGTCCAGCAGTCGTTGGCACTCATCATAGCTCTGGTAAGGAGCACATCTTTAGCACGATGATCTTTAGCATGGACAATAACATAATCTAAGAGGTGCCAGTGGTTTGATTGAGGATGCCTCCATGAAGTTTTAAATTTATTTTTCTGTCGAAAGAGTGTGTTGGTAATAACAAGGTTGTGCGCTGCACACATCGTCAAACTAAGATTCCGTTCTGGTTGCTGTTGCCAATTCCTTCTTTCCCAATAGTCCCAGGCCACAGATCGAAATCTCGCCCAACTCTTGCTTTTAAATCACCCAGGAGGATAATTTTATCTTCCTTAGGTGTCTCTGATAGGACAGTATCCAGTTGAGAGTAAAAAATTTCTTAGTGTCATCATCGGCAACCAGTGTTGGTGCATAAGCGCTTATAATAGTAGCCTGTTAGTTTTTGGGAAGTTTTATTTGAATGGTTGAGAGTCGCTCATTAATGCCGGTAGGGACTTCTGACGGGAGCGTCACAAGATGGTTTTTGATAGCGAAGCCTACACCATGTATTTTATGTTCTTGTTGAGATAGACCTTTCCAGAAGAATGTGTAGCCTCCTTTTTCTTCCTTCAGTTGTCCCTCGCCTGCTCTTTGAGTCTCTTGAAGTGCTGCAATATCGATGTTAAAATCTCACAGCTCTCTTGCAATGATGGCAGTTCTGTTTTCAGGACGCTCGCTGTCTGTGTTATCTGACAACGTCCGTATATTCCATGTTCCAAAGCTCAACTGTCTTTTACGACTGCGAGGTGGTGACCCCACTAGCTGCCGTAATCCAGTCAGGGGGAAAGGGAGGCAGACTATGTTTAGGGCACCTTTTCTAGTCCCTCCCCCTTTTCAGGATGAGCAGAGTGGGTCCTAAAAAGGGCTTCTCAGTCATGGATACAGCTGCCGAGCTGCTCAACTGCCTCATTGCTTGAGTCAGAATGACTGAATCTGTATCCACCGCCCATGTTCATGGCTAGGGACTTTCAGATTTCATGATTCTGCCCCCGTTAACATTTGCCGATCACCATGGAACTTTTGGGGCTTGGGTTTGGGAAGGGTTTTGGAAGATGCCCGTGTGTGAATTTGTTTTATGTGTGTAGATCAGTGCACGCTGACCAATGCACAGTCTTCACAGTAAGGCTCTGTTCCGATGGCATGAGTAGTCACGACGACCGGTAGATTTTTATCTGCTGTGGCCTTCACAGCCGTTGTAACATACCACTTGTTATCTTCCTCCTGTTCTGCCATTGAGGACTTCTTGGATCATTCTTTGTCTAGCTCCTTCCCTTTGACCTTACCGCCTTGGGTGACCCTGCTGGGAGCATGAGATTCCCAATGGCTTCACTCACAAGGGTCATAGGAATGTGCAAGCCCACTCACCACGACAAGGTGATGATCTAGTGAGTGAGTCTCATAGTTAGACGTACAGTGATCGTCTTTTTATCACCTCTACCCCTTCCCCATTCATCAGCAACTTCAATCATTCACCAAGGAACAGTGTCAGAGAGATCACCTGTTCAACAGCTTCACAATCAGATTAGGAGATATATCCAAGAAAAGAAAATATGAAATAAACAAATAAACCTGTAATGGCAACAACAACAAAAATACAAACTGAGAACATGGCAAACTGTTCATGCATCAATTTTTAAATTAAAAATTTAAAAATTCTCCAAGTTTGACTGGAAGGGTAGGTGGAGTGGAACACAAGGCAAAACTAATCCATGGAACAACAACAGAATTTAACAGAACCACCACTCCCTCCTGGCTTCAGTGATGCCCACGGAATAATATTTTCTTTTTTAATCTAAGGACAATTTGTACTATTTGGATATTTAAAGGCCATCACATTAGGAAAGATTACATGCGTTTGTCAATCTAGAGATAAAAATATATTTATTGATTAGTTTAATTAACACTTTTTTAGATATGCAATGTCCTGAGCAATGGCTCACTTTTAACGTAGAAGCCCAAAGGCCAAATCAAGGGGGGAGGGGCTTCAGAGGTTTTCTGGGCTTGTCCAAGGTGTACAAGGTGCTCCAGGTTGAAGCAGGATCTCCCTCAAAGCACTTCATGGTTCCTTGGCGTCTCAGACAGCAAAAAACATTGCAGATGAGTATCTGTGAAAAGCAAAATGAGTGTCTCTAGGCTGACAATATAAAGAAAATGCCAGAGTGGTGGCAAGAGAGGGCAAAGGTCAGGGTGGGGGACAGGAGCCAAGAGAGCCTCATTGGGGCAGGCAGGTCAAGACTGTAATGATTTACCCCAACCTTAAAAAATCCCAGTGCTATGGGAGGGAAATTGACAGATATCAAATAGTGTTTTTGTCTCGTGCTTCTTGCTCTTTGTCTTTGAAGGGCAGCAGTGTTAAAAAGTTCTGCTGGAGGCTTTTGCTGGACACATCATTTCAGCCTAGTTCCTTACTCATGTCTCCCTTTTCTTCCAAATTAAAGGTAAAGGGTAAAAGGACCCCTGACCATTAGGTCCAGTTGTGGCCGACTCTGGGGTTGTGGTGCTCATCTCACTTTATTGGCCGAGGGAGCCGGCATTTGTCCTCAGACAGCTTCCGGGTCATGTGGCCAGCATAACTAAGCCGCTTCTGGCGAACCAGAGCAGCGCACGGAAACGCCATTTACCTTCCCGCCGTTTACCTTCTACTTGCACTTCGTGCTTTTGAACTGCTAGGTTGGCAAGGAGCAGGGACCGAGCAACGGGAGCTCATCCCGTCGTGGGGATTCGAACCGCTGACCTTCTGATCGGCAAGCCGTAGGCTCTGTGGTTTAACCCACAGCGCCACCCACGTCCCTTTCTTCCAAATTACTACAGCTCTTTTTCATTTGTTCATTTGGGTTTAATTCTGCTTTATTTTTTCTGTTTTGCTTGGGTCTGTCTAAGGGAGCCATCCTCTACACAAGAAGTTGGCATGAAAAAAGCTTAGCCTAAATTAAACAGACATAACATTTCACCAGATCCGAGCTGTTCAGCAGCTGGGCTACTGCTGCCTAAGCCTGCCCAGGCCTAGCAGAGCGAAAGTGAGCCTTTATGAATTACACCACCTTTTTGGTTGTCTGAATTTACCCTGAATTGTCAAGTCAGATGACCAAGCTGAACAGGCACAAGATCCATCCTAAGTTAAGGTTACCAGATTTTTTTTCAATGAATCCGGGGACACTTTTCAACTTCAATGCATTTTGTATGGGGACTGATCTGTAAATCCGGGAACTGTCTCTGGAAAACGGGGACGTCTGGTAACCTTATCCTAAATGCCCCTGACATCCTGCTATGTCATGCCACCAGAATGCCATTTTTCAGGGCTTACACTGGCTTAAGATCTGTCAGGCTTGTTAGTCCACTGGGATGGAAGGGAAGAGATACACTGGCATATCTCTGGAAGAGCTGAGCCTGAGGGAGTTAAGCTGGTTTCCTCTGGATGTGCCAAGAACCTTCTGGCTCAGCCAGAGATCCACTGGATCCTAACCATCCTCACACAGTGGATCATGATATTGGATTGTTCCCTAAGTGTAGCTTATTTGTTCTTATTAGAGCCAGTGAATAGAATAGCTTAGAATTGTTCTTTAGAATAGTTCTGAGTTTGTAATCTCCTTTACACCGTCTCAAGCTATTTTGTTATTTTATTAATTTATCTGCCAGTGTGCCTTATTAATTATTGTACAATTTTTCTTTGTGTGTCTGTTTCACTCACTATTGTCTGTTACTGGGCTTCAATGCTAATGTGTGCACAAGTGCTCACTGTTGTAAACAGGAGAGTATCACACAATACAATTACTCCCTATTGCAAATAGGAGGCTTTGCCCCAGTGAAAATAGGAGCACAGCAGAGACAACGATTTGAGCCCCACAGCCTGCTAGAGCCCCATTTCTAGTTGGGGGCTTTGCACCTAGACATTGCTAATTGCATCACAACTACGGTAGTTTGGCCCTCTGTGATTCATGCTGTTCAGAAGTGACTCAAAACTGACATCAAAATTATGTGGCATCTTATTGTTTAGCCATTGAGTATTGAAACTTTGAAGCCCTCTTCACTTTGAAAATCTTGACAACACTGCCTGAAATCATTACGACAACTGAATGACTATACATTAAGGGGATTACATTTTTTTAATGTTTCCAGTGGCAACATTTTAATCAAGTAAATCACTTCTTGTATAGAAAGTGGATGCAAGGTTACTTAGAAGTTCTAATAGACTTTGCTAATCTTCATAATTGCTTAAGAACTTGGACAATTAAATACCTCAGAATATTAGTATCCTGAGGCTGTGTACAGACAATAGTTTTTCATAGATTTGAAGGAGATATAATGCAGCAATCATTGCTCATGGTATGCATTTATTTTACCCATCCTTTGCCAGTGTTTGTCAAACTGGCTTTCTACATATTTTTATAGCGCGCCAAAATTCTGCAAAACCTCTTCAATAGCAAACATCTGATAATAGAGGCAAGGTAACACTATTCAAATGTTTCATTGAACATGTGGGATGGGAAGTCAGATCACTTGTGTTGTTCCCAATCCCAGACACAAGAATGTTCAGCTTAACATGGGCATAGTTTATATGTGTATACATGCACATGACTGGGATCTTTGCTTTTCCAAGGTTCTTGATTGTACATAAAGAACTTGTTCCATTGTACGAATCAGTGCATGTAAACGGAACACATGGAGGTTGGAAATGGAGATGGCAAGTGTGTGATCCCACTCCCCCTACCCTCAGGACATCAAAGAGCAATTATTCCTCCAGAAATACTATGGGAAGCCTCCTCTGCAAGTGATTGCTTTAGGCTCCCAGGGCCTTTTTTAGTTAATCTATTGAGCTTTGTTTCTGGCATACTAGTGTCCACCATTAGCATGAATTGCTGCCATGATGGGACCAAAAAACTCTGTACACCACAGACAATTATAACACCAGCACACAGCAGTGCTGCCTAGATCATAGCAGTATCAGAGCAGGTGAAGGATCTTAGAAAAGGGATCAGAGATGAATCAGGGGCCCTGGGAAACAAGGCTGGAAGCCGGCCATGAGGGGCAGAGCAGAAGGATAGAGTGGCTTTTCTGAAAGGGAAAGGAAAGACGATAGGCAAACAACAGAGATGTTCGTGGTGCAACTCTGCAGAGCTAAGAAGAGCTGAAATTCAAATATTAATCTGATAACAAAAACAGCTAAATCCTTGGCTGCAAGGCTCTGGAAGAAATATGAAAGACAGCAAAAATTCTGGTACCCATGAAACATGTCTTAAGCCTAGGATTGGGATCCTGTGTCTTCCAGGTGGTACTGCCCCCCCCCCCGCCACTGCCTCATGGCATGGTCAGGGATAGGGGGAGTTGTAGTCCACACCAAGAGCATCTGGGGGGCCACAGTTCCCCACTCCTGTCCTAAGGAGAACTGTGGTGCCCCATGTTGCACGTTCAGAAAAGTGATGGCATTCCTACGCTAGTTGGACAACTGGGCACTCTGGGGGGAAAACCCCATGTACGACATTATCAGTCAGCCTGCTCCCTTCAACAAGCTCCTCAAATACCAATTAGGCAAGCACCAGCTTGCTTCAAGGGGAGAAAACTGAATGACTCACATTGTGTTTCTGGCTGATAGCAGAGTGTCCAGGTTTCTAAGACAATAACAAATTCTGCCACTTCCCTCTGTGAAAGAATTATAGACATGGATACTAGACAGAAAGAGTGTTCCAGGACTTATAAGCTAGCCCCACCGGATGCTCACATCAATTATTAGTCTGGCTAGGTTTAATGGAGCTCAGAAATAAATTTCATGAACAGAATGTGTGCAGCATCTCCTTCCAGATTTTTAGTATGTTTTGTCTGTCACAATTTGACAAGAAAACAAGAATTAGCAAGTTACAGATGCAACCAGACTCTTTTAACCTCTAATTTCATTTTATCTATTTTTTTTCTTGAATTGCACTGAGACTCATGTACATTTTTTATAGCTATAGAGAGTAAGTTTACACCAGAGGTTGTCAAACTTTGGACCCTCAAGGCCCATTTGAGACAGCTGACAATTACTGCTTCACAAAAGAGTGGTGAAGGGGCAGAGCCAGTCACTTAGGGGTTGTCCGCACTTCTGCTTGTCCCATGCCTAGAAAGCACAGGTCCAAGTAGTTTTCCCCTTGCTCTACTCCTTTCCCAGGGAAAAGCCACTCTTTAGCTCTAAATCAGAGCTAAATCTAAATCCATGGAAAACCTGATTGCTGTTTGCTCCGATTGAGCGATAAAGAGCTGTTTTTCCAGAGGAAAGCAGCAGAAGAAGAGGAAGTGTGGATAAGCTGTAAATGGTGGCAGATGGAGACAGAGTTTGGGCATAATCAGCTTGCAATTACTGGTATCTCTGTTGATATCCAATCCATCTTTGGCAACTGCTAAATTCTTTGCCACAGCATTTTATTTGTGTTAAGGAGTTCCATAGTTCATCTTTTCTCAAGCTAACTATGGGAATTTGCTCTGAAGGTCTTGTGAGAGCCTTGCCAGTTTAATCAGAATTTTCTTTTTCTTTCATATTTTCCCGTTGCCTACATCAAATGCCTCACAAAGTATGTGTATATATTTCCTGTAATTTCCCTGTTTGAGAAACACTGATTCACACTGTTTCAAATTGTTTCCATTTATAAGCTTGTCCACACAAAATATGCATGACAGCAAAGCACACTTTTAAAAGGAAAATAAAACAAACCTTAAAACCTTAGCAAAAAATAAACACACCAAATATTTACATTTCAAGTCAGAACAGTAAACCACACTTATTTGTTAACTTCGTTTTTTCTGTTTTCCCTTTGCTTTTGTTTAAACCAATTCAAAAACCAAGAACATATTTTCCACTAATAATGAACCATTTGTCATTGACATTACTACAAATTTATTATGCTACTTTTGTGATATAAAAATGGCACGTGAAGACTTAGTCCATTTATTTATTTAAATCATTTATTATTCCTATGATCCTTGTTTCTAAAACCCAATGCAAGTTATTCAAAGAAAGAAAGAAAGAAAGAAAGAAACCAGTATACTACACATGACTGATTCACTTTCCTTTTGTCTTTAGGAGCTGCAAAATGCATCTGCATTGGGCCACCAGGTAGCAGGCGTGGCAGCTCTGGGAGGCTGAAGGTACCTTTGTTTTCAGGGGAGCAGACCCCTCAATCTCGAGGCTGCCCTATGCATGCCACACACGCTGCAGGTCCAGTGGCTCCTCCCGCACGCTCGGCCTCCTCCACCGTGGGCTCTCTGGGCCCGCCCAGTCTTGGGGGCAACCTGGCGCCTCTGCCATTCATTATAGTCATGGAAACTCTGGCCAACCTGATTTGTCAAAGCACCAAGATGGAGGGGATATCGGAAAATGGTAAAGAATACGTTCTCGTTTTATTTGAATATGATATTCTACTCTTTCTGACCAGAGTCTTACCTGAGATTCAAGCTGTGTTGGAGTCCTTTCACGCTGCAAATAGACTGGAGACAAATCCATTATGCTATGTAGGTAGGTATGCCTCTGGATGATCAGTTTATGGGCTCATTCTGCAACCAAAAATGTCCAACAACTTAAGAGGAGGAATTATTATCCATTAGTAAAGGAAGTTAAGGCTGATTTACACAAATGAGGCTCTTTAGATCCCTCTTGGTTGGGGAGAACGTCCACAGTAAGAATGACACTCTATTGACCAAGTTTTTATTTTTCTTCCATTTGCTTCCCAGTTGGTTAGGTGGAAAATGACGTTATCAATGGCAAAACTCCCCCACAGCCCACAACCACATTTAAAAGGGGATTAATCAGCCAAAGAGGAATATTTCTGCCTGGTGCCTAGAGGTGTATAATGAAGGCGCCAACTGAGCCTCCCTGGGGAGAGCATTCCACAAGCAGGGAGCCTTTCTCATGTTGCTGCCCTTCAGACCTCTCGTGGAGGAAGCACATGAAGCAGAAGGGCCTCAAAGCTCTCATCACTGGTTGTGTTTGATGGTGAGACTGTCACTCTCCACCTAGCAGAGGCTGGCCAGGTGGGCGGGGACACAGCTGGCCCCTTCATCCCCATGCAGCCCTTCACATATTAGTGTACACAGTTGCCAAAGGGCCTGTGGCTCAAACTCCACATTATAGGAACGCCATGTTTTGTTGCTTCACAGATACGTTTCTGAGCACAATTCAGAGTGTTAGTGCTGACCTTTCAAGCCCTAAACGGCCTCTGTCCTGTGTACCTGAAGGAGCGTCTCCACCCCCATCGTTCAACCCAGACACTGAGGTCCAGCGCCGAGGGCCTTCTGGCGGTTCCCTCGCTGCGAGAAGAGAAGTTACAGGGAACCAGGCAGAGGGCCTTCTTGGTAGTGGCATCCGCCCTGTGGAACGCCCTCCTATCAGATGTCAAAGAAATAAACAACTATATGACATTTAGAAGACATCTGAAGGCAGCCCTGTTTAAGTAAGTATTTAATGATGTTTTAATGTATTTTTAATCTTTTGTTGGAAGCCGCCCAGAATGGCTGGGAAAACCCAGCCAGATGGGTGGGGTAGAAATAATAAATTATTATTATTATTATTATTATTATTATTATTATTAACAGAAAAAACAGCTGAACATGTGGGTGGAGGAAGAATTATGGGAGAGGAGGAAAGCTGTGTAACCCTTTGTCCGCTGCTCGTTTTTCACCTTTCCCCACGCATTTTGACTCACAGGTAGAAATGTATCAGGAGAAATATAGAACTCCTTTATGTTTCCCTGTGGTTGGGGCAGGGAAGAACAGCTTCATAGAGAGCAATTTTGAACTGGAAAAGGACAGGAGGAGAACAAATTAAGCAACCGCCATGGCTCCTTCTACTCAAACACAGTCAGACTGATTGTGCTTTAAAATGTCAAGGAAAGACACTCTCTGTAAAATGTGACTTAAGACTTTCTCAGTGGTAGCCCTGGGCCTCTCAGAAGAACTGTCTCTCAGAGAAAGCCCATCAGAGTGCAGGGTGTGGAGGCTGACTGCATTTAATCTCTTGCTGTGGGAAGGGATTCTCCTTTGTCTGACTAGCTTGTCAGTGCATTTCAATTGTTCAAATGTTCCAATTGCTTCAAATGTTGCTGTGAGCAGCCTCAAGCCTAGGAGAGGCAGGCAGGGCAGAAACGTTCTGAATACATTTTACACTTGCATAGTGCATGTGTGTATTTTGTGTTTGGGGTTGTTTTCCTGACAACAAAAAGGCATATGAGATTCAGTTCAGGTATTGCCCTCCGTCTGTTCACTAAAGGATGTTGCCCACAATGCAGATGAAGCATCATTCATACTTTTGATCTGGTGGGAGATCATCTACACTGCAGCTGAGGCAAAAACTACACATGTTGGGGGGCTCTGTGGTTTCCCCCTCTGCATTTTAAAACTGTTAGTCTGGGCAGGCAGTGAGTCAGAGCAAGGGAGTATGGAGGTGTTTTCTCCTCTGGTCCTTTTTCAGTTTGAAAAACCAGACTCTTCAAGCTGCTTTTTCACTCCAAGCTACAGAAAACCTATGGATAGCCCGTATTTTTTCCTTCTGTGAGGAGGAGGAAGTGTTTGTGCTGAAGAACCCTGAGATGAAAAATAAGTATGAATTCTCCACATACCCTTTCTCCACTTCAACTGACCGTCTGCCCGGGTAAATTTTGTTGTTGTTGTTGTTTTAAAAAAAGAACTGAAGGAGGGGGAAAACCAATGTAACATGTAGCTTGAGCCCGAAACTGAATGGTGGGCCCATTCTTCAGGGGCAGGCTCTAGACGGAATGAGTTTTAAGACACTCCATTGCTGAACTCCAGTCACCAAATGTAATTTAAGAAGCTCCATGACGATTACTCATGAGACAGGGCAGGTGGTTTAACAGCAGTTAACACCACATATTTCTTCATAGACTTTGCTTTGTTCTCCTGCTGAGCATCACCAAGGGAGCAGAAGTATTATAGTATTATACAAATATCTAAAATATTATTTTGTCTTTGTGAAAACTTTCTATGTTTTAACTTGGCAAAGCCATTCCTATTGGCATCATTAAACAATTGTATTTAACTGGGAAATGTTTGCTACTGATTTGGGGAGCGCAAACTGATTTTCATTCTGTTGCCTTGCCTTGCCTTCCCCTTTCTGCCTTTCCAGCTCTTTGTATACAGGTTATAAAGGATCAAGAGTGAGAATAATGAATGGTCAAAAATCCAGCTGCAAGACGGCTGTGCAAGATGGGGGTGTATCTGGAGTAATGACCTTTAAAAGCAGACAGATACAAATGGGCAGCCAGGCTCTATTCAGCCTTTCACACACAATTTTTTTATAGTCTCAGTGGGATTTCTGTTGTCAGCAGTATGAGGAAGAATATGCCTGAACTCTCTGCTTAATGACCAACTGAAGGGGAAGAGCTGAAGCTCAAATGGTCAGAATCACACACAATGTCAGTCCTGTAAAGGATCTCATATATGCAACATTCAGGTGTAATTTTTTTAAGTGCATGTGTTACTTTCCATTATCCTTGGTGGAATCACACATATATTGAAGGGCAAAATAAATGGTCTAACTTCAGAGCATGTGGATATCTCCAGGTAGTTACTGAATGTTTAATTTAGCAGTTGATGAATTGTATTGTTGGTTTTGTTTCATGTCACATCTGGTGCTTTGGGGAAAAGTGGAAGCAACTGATAAATACTGTCACAGATACTGGCTGACCATCCGTTGTTAATCTGATCACTTGATAATCAGAAAAGATTAACTGATATTTCATCACTGTGAGTTAAGAACAGGAGATGTCCTCCAGACAGCTGGGAATTTTTCACCAGATTTTGGACTTTTGAATAATTCCACAGCAAGTAGCCCTTCCTATGGGGGGAAAGGTTGTGCTGTCTGCTGAAGGTGTGCATTTACTAGAAGTGTGCACAGGCCCCAAGATTCACCTGGTATCTGTGCATTTAAAAAAAGAAAATCCAATCTGTTTCTGAGTACTCTGCGCTCTCTCGCTCTCTCTCTCTCACACACACATTGAACTGTTATTCTGGTTTTGTATAAAATGAAACTCTATGTTCTTCACTCACTGCAATGGGGGATCTAATAATCCCAACCACTTTTTCCCTCTTTGGTCAAAGTGAATGAAATGTGCCTCCAAAGTGGATTAAGCCTTCCAAATTGCAGTCAAAGATGGCTTTTCATGGGGGAAGTAGAAAAAAAGGATTAAAATTTATCTATAATATATTGGGGGGGGGGAGCCTGGGCTTGTCTTTCTAGCCTTCAGATAATTAGGAGGCAGCCCACTGGTGCATTCACAGATCTCTCTCCACAAAAGGTGGTGAGTAACAGGCTCCTTGCCAGCCACCTAAAACACACTCTGGCCCTCGCAGGAACAGCTCTTCCATCCCCCCCCCCCAAGCTGTGTGCGCTGCTGGCAACCCTGGCTCAGACAGAGGTGGGCACCCTGCTCTGCTTGGGGGCGCAGAGCACAGCTCGTTGGAAGATGTGCAGCAGCAGCCACCTGGCTGCCCTGCTGAATCTAGAGCCCCGCTGCAGCTGACATTAGGATGTGCCTGGTCCTCTGGATGCCTCTGGGGGGCACTAAATAAAAGTGAAATTCTTTAGCACTGCCTATGGGCTTCTCAGGAATCAGGCTAGTGGAGAGACATATAAATTTAGGAAAGAAACACCTCCCCCCGACCTCTGCAGGCTAAGCACAGCACAGACATCACCCACCCCCAAAGGGGTATGTCCCTTACACCAGATGCATGCTACATCTGAACTAGGAAATATTACACTCAGAAGGGGATGCACGCTTGATTGGGCAGGTTTTAAGAACACTCAAACAAAATAATCTGGATGGATTGGGGAAATCTGCAATCAAAGCAACATGCTAGGCTAGGCACAGCTGCCCAAAGAGTCTCAGGACAGGTTTGAACTAGGTGAATCCATCTCAGATGGTTGTATGAAATTAGGTCCTGCAGGCTGCACCCATAACTTATCCACCCCAAGTAGCTTTAATTACTCAGAAGCACCCCATACTTTGAGCAATGAACTCACCTGGGAGGAAACCATCAAAATCATCCTTGCCCTGAATGAAGCCCCTGCTTGGCAGAGGGTTGGACTCGATGGCCCTTGTGGTCTCTTCCAACTCTATGATTCTATGATCTCCCTAAGCATGCATGTCTATGCCTTCCCAACATTCATATCTACCCACATCATAAATCAGACACAGAGCAACTTGGCCACAATAAGGAAATTTTGCCCATGGTATGACTATTTTCCACCTTCCCATTTTGACTCTCTGGCACCCTATCTGTATAACCTAGCAATTCTAAAACATAGGCGCGCTTTTACTGTCACAAGTTTGAATGTATTGCCCTCAGCTGTACTCCAGGGACGATTCCAACAGATTCCACACAAAAAATGCTTATGCCCCTGTGGAGATGGCAGTACCAAATCGGTGGTACATGCCCTTCTGGCTTGCACTCTTAATAAAAACTTGAGGAATGAGATTATCACCCCTCTTTTATTGTCCATTCCAGGTTGCCCAACCACTGCCACAGTGTCCTTTCTCTTGGCAGATCAAGATGAGCAGGTGACAGCAAAGGTTGCAAGGTTTTTAGCTGGGGCAATCAAAACAAGATCCACTATTTGACTACTGATTCAAAACCCTAAAATGTGTTTTATAGAATTGACTTTTTATTACTATTCTTTGTATATAGTATAGTTGTTTTATTGCTATGGCTGATGGCTGACGCAAATAAGATTCAATCAATCAATCAATCAGACACAGAGATAATTTTAAACAAACCTTTGTTGCTTGCATGCAGTTGACCATATGAAGATTTCTTGGGGCATTTGGGTAGTCGTGGTGTACTTGGGTTTCTGGAAAATTGGAGCTGCCTCCTATATCTCAAGGGCTGTTTCCTCTGCCACTCCTAGTCAGAATATCTTGTTCTGCCCAGAAAACAGATAAGAAACTGAGCTTGAGTTGAAACCATGGTGGAACTCCCTTCCTTGTCTTCTGGATTCCTAGTAACTCTTTCCCTGATCCATTCAACTATGGCCTAATATCAGATATGTAGCAGCTGGATCACAACTGGAATGCTTTTTCATACGAAATGAAACATCTCAATGTCAAGGAAAACCAAAAGACTTTTTGATAAGGCTAGTGAAATTTATCAGTGGTTGACACATCCCTAATTCTGAGCAGGTTTCCAAGTGAAACAGGTCCTGCCTACGTAAGTTCTCGATTTGTCTTTCTTGATACCAGCAGTCAAACGCAATTACCCAGATTATGCCAGCAGAAGCTGCCAGTGATGGATCAAGTGATTGGCTACCCATGGCTGCACTCTCTGCTAAACCATTCTATGCACACACTTGGGATGAAAGCCCCTGAAA